TGTGGAAAAGAGCGAGAGATTTTTCACTGATGCTGCGATGCCTGCACGCGCTGCTCTGCAAGCACCAGCACCGCGCTTGGCTTTACGTCGACGATCTGCTTCTGCTCCTGCGCCTGCAGGAGGTGGAAGTAGGCGCTGCACTGACTGTTGCGCTGCTGGGAGCTCTCAATGCCCCCATCAGCTGGAAGAAAGCACAGTTCGCACAGCAAGTCGTCTGGTGTGGTTGGAAGTTTTGCTTTGCATCGGAATCGGTGGAGCTCGTCGCAAACAAGCTCACCAAGCTTCGCGAGCAACTTCAAGCCCTGCGTGCCGCGCACAAGGTGTCACGCAAGTCCCTAGAGGCGGCACTGGGGCTCCTCAACTGGGCCACGACCTTTAGCAAGCACCTGCGTCCCTTTATGGCGCCGCTCTACAAGGACTTGCACAGCGCAAAAGGAACGCTGCACAGCATCGCTCCGGCGTCGTGGTCAGGTTTCTAGGAAGCACTTGACAACAACGCACGGCTGTCAAGGACACCCACAGGCAGCTGGCTCCCTCGCAATGCGCAGCTACTGGAGGTCGGCGCACTGAAAGTGCACAGCAAAGCAGACGTGCCCAAGGTTCCGCCATCGCACAAGCACCAGTGGGTGCGCCTGGCAGACCCGTCCCGCCAGGAGATACACTTACGCAAGGAAAGCGAATTTGTTCTGCAGTGGCTCAGCCTGTGCTTTGCCCATGAGCAGCCACGCAGTCTGCGCTGCGCACCGCTCATGCCATGCCTGAGCGCGGCAGACGCCTTTGCAGACAAGCGCCGGATGGGCATAGGCGGGTGGCTCAGCACCGCACGCAGTTTTGTTTGGTTCAGTGAAATCTTCTCGGACGAAGACATCCGGCAGCAATGGCCACAGCTCAGCGGCAGCCTCCAGCCCTACATAGGCTGCTTCGAAACCTTGGCACAGCTGGCACTGGCTCAGTGCACTTGGCAACTGCTCCGCTCTCGCCACGCACGGTTCGTCCTGCCCAGCGCCAGTGGCAACACCAGCGCAGAGTCGGGACTCAACAAACTCTTCAGCACAGCCGAGCCGCTCGGCACCTTTCTGCGCTTGGCAGCGACGTGGGCGCACCTGCACCGCGTGCAGTTCCAGGTGGAGCACCTGGCGGGTGAAAAGAATAACTGGGCCGATGCGATGTCCCGCGGACGCATCGCCTTTGTACAGCACCGCGCTAAAGAGCGGGTTCGCATAAACCTGGCTCAACTGGCATCTGCATCGCATAGTGTAACCTTACAGGGCAGTCGCAATGATTGGCCCGGTTGTCTGGTCAGAGCCACCTCGGCCATGCTACGCTGATTCGGAAAAGACGCATTGCCTTGACGTCTCGCACTGTCAAGCTCCTGTGGCCTGGTGCCTCCTGCCAGGTACTGCCAAAGCCCGCGAGGCGCCGCACTGCACCCTGACGCGGTGGGGGTAGCTTTCCGTCGGGCATAGGGTTGCAGTGTCAGACTAAAGTGG